GGAAGGAAGGAAGGAAGGAAGGAAGGAAGGAAGGAAGAAAGAAAGGGAATAGAAGCAAATACTGTTGAATGATGATGCACAGAGGAAATTTTAATCATTGAAATGAAACGATGGTGTAAAATCAATGTTCTCCTATGTAAACTATCACTCAATTCACAATAAAAACTTAAAAAAAAAAATTCAAGTCATAGAGGTTAGCTCAGAATTCTATGCAATTCCAAAGGGATAATCTTGATAGATTTTCTCAACGGAGACAGGACAATCACAGGGGCTTATTAGAAAGAAGTTTAAAGAAAATTGGAAACTGCATTGATAAGAAAAATCCAGGAATATTTTTTTCCATCCCAACAAAGCACCTGCTCATTCATAAAGCATAGCCCCTTCAGACTTACTTTTGTCCCTAAAACTTAAAACACTGAAAAGGAGTACAATTTGCATCCCTCAAAGATGCCAGAGCTCCCATTTTGATATGGTGTAGTTGAAGAGTATAAAATTCTTCAGGTAAGAATTAAAGAGCTGGAAGGACTACCTTCAAAGAGAATAAGCTTAGATGGAGGCTATGCCAAGAAAAAAAAAAAAAAAAAAAAAAGCTTCAAAATTTGATATTTTTGTTTAATAAATGTTTCTATGATTTTGTACTGATATTTTTTACTTAACTTCATATATATATGTATGTATTGTTGTTAAGTGTTGTGGAGTCTGTTCTGATTCAGTGACCCTATATAGGGTTTCCAAGGCTTTAAATCTTTGTGAGAGCAGAAAGCCTTATCTTTTTCCCATGAGCCAGCTGGCAGACTCAAACCATGGACCTTGTGGTTCACAGTCCAGTGTTTATTGCATATATAGAAAGAGAGAAAATTATTTCCAAGAAATATCTCACTTAATTCCGGGGGCTTGCAAGTCTCAAATCTGTGGACAACAGGCTGAAGACCTCTGCTAATACACATGGTGGCAGGATCTGAGGAGCCCAAAATTTGCAGTTAGATGGTAAGCTGGAGTCTTCTGCAGACTGACATCCCAAGAACAAAAGATCAGGTTGTGAGAAGAGTACCAGGTCAAGAAAAGAAAGCAAGCTTTCCCAGAACAAACACCCCTGAGGAAACTCCCTGTTCAACTGATTGGCTGATCATATCAGATCACATAATGGAAGAAACCAAACTATTCAGTGCCAAACCACTGAGAATCATAGCCTAACCAAGAGGATACATAGCATTAACCATCAAATCTTTTAATAGAAATGTTAATTTAAAATATTTCTAAAAATGTTGACATCTCTCTACCTTCATAAGCCAAAGATTCAAAGGGATATTAATATATTTTTAATAACTCAACTGACACCTGGCAGTGGCTTTTGAAGGCCTTGTATCGCTAAATATACTAGCCTACCATCCTCACTAGGCTGTGAGAATGCTTGTCCCATCAGTTTCCACTTACTCAATCAAAACTGTCCACTGCAAGAATAGAGGGTAAGATGATGGCATAAGCTGACACTGAGCTGACCCTCGGCAACAAAGACATGGGAAACGGAGTGAAGGAGATACAGATGATCCTGGAACCCTGAGCATCAGAGGATTGGCCAAAAAGATGGATTGAGTGCTGACTGGAAGACTAAGCTGAACAAGAACAGTGAGAGAGAAGTAGGCTGGTGTGGAGCAACACAGTTATCTTGAGTTTTTACAAGCAACTGTTAAAGAGTGACCTGCAGGTACAAGATGCAAGGAGGT